AGAGAAGAGAAGAAGAGAAGAGAGAGAAGAGAAGAGAAAGAGATCCTGCTCAGAGATTTAAGAAAACACTCGCTCACTTCACACTAGGTTCAGGGTCGGATTATCAATTAGGAAGAATAGACACTAAAGACGACCCCCCCCCCCCTTCCCACTGGTTCCATGGGGTCCCTGTGGGGTGCCTGTATTGTAAGGATTCCACTGACACTAAATATGGAAATATGATTTTTGATATTAAATTCTTATTTTTTAGGCCTACATATCATTTCCTAGGTGTGGAATCTGTTTCAAACGTAAATTTAAAAACTTATAACCATTATAACATAGAAGAGAAGAAAACACGAAAAACAATAAAAAGAATAACATTAGTGACAATAATGATTATAATAATGATATGATAACAACGATAATCATACCCATAAGAAAGTGGGCAGACACCGGATAACGCACATACCCCCATCTTACAGGTCACACAGGTCACCGCCCCCCCTAAGTTCCTAAGCATTCGCGACAGATAGGCCTAAAACTCACGACCACCATATTAGGGCTTGGGCGTCTTGGCTCACTGAACCTTTAAGACAAGACAAGACAAGACAGACAAGACAGGACAAGACAGACAGGACAGGACAGGACAAGACAAGGGCAAGACAGGGCAAGACAAGACATGACAAGACAAGACAAGACAGGGCAAGACAAGACATGACAAGACAAGACAGGCAAGACAAGACATGACAAGACAGGGCAAGACAAGACATGACATGACATGACAGGACAAGACATGACAGGACAAGACAAGACATGACATGACATAACATGACAAGACATGACAGGGCAAGACAATCCAAGCCAAGACAAAAGAAAACAAAAGGCTGTCGTGTACAGGATGGTGGAGTGGTCTAACCAGATAATTACTAGAGGTGACGGAGAAGAAGAAGAAGAAAAAAAAGTTTTCTGACCACTGTTCTGGAACCAAGTGAAAAGAAAAAGAAAAAAAAGAGAAAAGGGCAAGTCATCCTATGTAATGGAATAAGCATAGAAGAAGAACAATGAGAATAATCAAGTGTGAATTTTCCATACGTGATATTAATGGACCTGGCTTGGCTTTGAGTTTTCATGAAGTGGCCCCTCGGGTGGAACAAGCTATCCCGGTCTGGTCTATACCAAATGCTTCTATTTTTCATATATCTTTTAAAGAAAATATGCAATGATGATTTGGACTGTTGCCATTACTCTTTATGATGCGAGGGATGATATTATGATAATTATGAAAATGGTAATAATGATAACGATGATGGTGATCAGTATATTAACAATAAGTAATGATGATGATAACGATAATGATAAAATAATTGAAATAATAACTATGAATAATAACAACAATGATAATAAAAACAATAACAGCAATAATGGTAATAAAATCAATAATGATGATAAAGATAATTATAATAGTAGTAGTAGTAGTAGTAATTATAATAACGTTCGTAAAAATGATTAATGATAATTATAATAATGATAATAATCATTATCATATTAATGACAATGATGATAATCATAACTTTACGATAATTATGGTAATGCCAATAATAATGACAATTGTCATAACAATAACAATGGTCATGATAATAATAATAATAACAATAATAATAGAATTGAAAATAAAAGGATAATAGGGATAAGATGATTATGATGAAAATGGTAATGATGGTGATGATAGTAATACAAGGACAATAATAGTAATAAAAAGGCTTCCACAACCTGCAGCTACTAAATAATAAATAAAACATGATGATAAAGATGATAATGATAAAAATTATGATGATGATGGCAATGGTAATGATAATGATGATTGCAATGTCATAACATTATTACCAGAAAAGAATAACATTATAATGACTAGTTATCAAAATCAAGCTCTCATTAAACTTTATCCGATTCCTGAAAACCTAACCAAACTTAAGCCCACCTTCCTGGTTCTCTCATTACGATTCACAAATACGTATGGTTTACTGCACATACAAGAATCTCTTATAAACTCACAACCTCAGCGAACAGGTCATTGGCTTACTTCAACGTCGCATAGAATGGAATTTAATCGAAAAATGGGCTGGAGGGAATGATCGTATCTTGTTTAGTAAGCGAATCCTGGGCGTGTAATTTCGAAGTTCAAAACCGGATTTTGGAAAACCCTCGTGTTTAGGGACCTGCACGCTCGCTCGCTCTTTCTCTCGTCATCCTACTCTTCTACCCTTTATTTGTCTCCATCTCTCCTCCTCTCTCTAATATTTTTTTTCTCTCTCTCTCTTTCTTTCTCTTTCGCTTTCTCTCTCTCTATCTTTCTCATTCTCTATTTCTTTCTCTTTTTGGGTTATATTCTTTCTCGATTTCTTCTCGTTTCTGCAATCTAAACCTATTATCGTTCCCTCACGCTTTCTTTCCGTTATTTTTCTTACGTTCGTTTCTTTTCGTTCAAATCTTTGGTCAGTCACGTTCTCACTCTAACCTC